GGTTCAGAGTCTAACATTGCACACTGAATAACTTCTCCTTTAGAGTCTACTTCAGTGTCTTGCAACATATCAAACTCTGCAAATCTTCTTGGGATGCTTCTGACTCTTTGTTGCCTCTGAACTGGACCTTCAGAACTTTGGACACCAGAACTTTCCCCTTCAGAAGCACTTACTTCAGAAATTGGAATTTCTCCAGAACCTTGACTGTCTTTAGAGTCTGGATCACCATCGGAGTCAGAGTCAGAATCATCTTCTCCTTCTATATCTTCTTCAGAGTCAGAGTCTTTACCAGCTTCAGAAACATGTGTTTATGAGTTTTCTTCAGGAGTTCTCTCATCAGAGTCAGGATGAGACTTTTCCCAATTCTAAACTTCTAATTCCTTTACAATGACGTCTCTGCTAAACTCAACTTTGTTAGTTTTTGGACAATAAAGTTTATACGAACTTGTACTGTAGTACCCCACCAGCAACATCACTTTACTTCTATCATCCAACTTCTCTCTTCTGGCTTCTGGAATATGTTTGTAACATACAGAACCAAACACCTTCAGATGACTAACACTTTGCTTATCTCCAGTCCACTTATGAATATGAACTATTTCCTTCAATTTCTTTGTTGGACATTTGTTGAGCACATAACATGCAGTTGCAACAGCTTCTCCCCACAGAGTATGAGGAAGCTTCTTCTCTTTCAGCATGCTTCTCACCATATCAAGCAAAGTACAGTTTCTTCTTTCAGCAAGACCATTGTGTTGAGGAGTATAGGGAGCAGTAACCTCATGCTCAATTCCATTCTCCTCATAGAATCTTTGGAACTCTGTGGAGTTATATTCACCACCACTATCAGTTCTAAGAATCTTCAGAGTCTGGCCACTCTGACTCTCAGCCTTCAGTCTGAACTTCTTGAATTCAGCAAATACCTCATGTTTAAACTTTATAAGAGATATCCATGTCATTATGGTGAACTCATCAACAAATGAAATAAAATATTTATTCCCTCCAGTTAATGCTACTGGAAAAGGACCACACACATTAGAATGCACTACTCCTAAGGCATGTTTTGCTCTTGGAGCTACTTCTGATGCAAATGGTAATCTTGGTTGCTTCCCTTCCATGCACACCTTGCATGCTTTTTTCAGGCTTCTTGATTGTAGGAATTCCATGTACCAGATTGTTTGATTTCAGATGCCCTAAACTTTTGAGATTCAGATGATCAAATCTTCTGTGCCACATCTCACTCTCCTTGACAACACTTGTTGCACTAAGATATTCAGAGTCTACAGTTCCAACATTCACCTTGAATGTTCTGTTCCTTCTCTGTTCTGACTCCATAATAAGCTTCTGATTACAGTCATATAGCTTCAGAAGATTGTTCTTCATGGTAACTAAAAAACCTTTCTCAATCAGTTGTCCCACACTCATCAGGTTTCTTTTCATGCCAGGTACATACCATACATTCTAAATCACTGCTGCTTTCCCATTGTTTAGAATAATTATGACATTTCCCATACCTTCTGCATTGAGGTATTTATCATCAGCACATCTAATCTTTGTACTCTTCCCAGAGTCAAAATCAACCAACCATTTCTTGTTTCTAGTAAGATGGTTTGAACACCCTGTGTCCATATACCATTATTCTGATGAATTCAGATCATCGGGTTCAGAAGCCAACAATAGCACAAGTTCATCATCTGACTCTCCTCTGGCTATATTTGCTTCCTCTAACTTCCTTTATTTGTTTGACCAGTAACCTTTGGCATAATGACCAAAGTTCTTGCAACAGTAACACTGAACATTCTTCTTGTCAGACTTCTCCTTTCCCTTCTAGACATTCTTCTGCCTATCAGAGTTTGAAGCTTATGACCTTTGACCACCCTTAGTTTTCTTCCTGGATTCTGACCAAGTCTGCTTCTGATACTTCTTACCAGAAGTTACTTTTAGAGCCTGCTGCTCTACTTCCCTCTCAGAAGTTCTCGCAGTCATACGAAACTCATGTGCCTCTAGACTACTTTGCAGCTCTTCAACTCTCATGGTACTCAGATCTTTGGAATATTCAATTGCTACCACAATATAATCAAACTGAGAAGTTAAAGATCTTAAGATCTTCTCAATAATTACTTGTTCATAAAGAGTTTTTCCACAAGCTTTCATCTCATTAGTGATCAGAATCACTCTAGAGATGTACTCAGAAACCTTCTTGTTGTCTTTCATGTTGAGATTTTCATATTGCTTTCTGAGAGACTGAAGTTTCACCTTCTTCACTGATGCGTCACCACCGCAACATCTGATCAATGTGTCCCACACAACCTTTGCTGTTTCAGAATCAACAATCTTCTCAAACACATTTGCATCCACACATTGATGGATGTAGAACAATACCTTCTGATCTTTCTTCCTTAGCGCCCTATGTGTTATCTTTTGTTCCTCTGTTGCGTCTGCTTCAAACAGATCATAGCCATCGATGACAAGATCTAACACATCTTGAGAACCAAACAACACGCGCATCTGGATCTTCCAACAATTCCAGTTTTTTCCATCAAATACTAGAAGCTTGGAATGGATATCGCCGTCGTTTCCGTTCATCTTCTACCTTGTGCAATTTACGCAGAAATTCAATAAAGCAGAGTTTCCCAAATCCCAGAATCAGAAACAACGATTATCACACAACACCTTATTGTTCTCTCGTGTTTTCCTTTTTCCTGTGGATTTTGAACCGGAGCTCTAGATACCAATTGTTGGTGCACAAAGAAGAGATGAAAGGCAAAAAAAGAATATATTAACTGACGGCTACAAAATAAGAAATAATGATTTACAATGAATTACATTGAGCTATCTCACTAGGCTATTTATACACAAAATAAAATCTTAAATATCCTCTAACAAAGATATAAAAAGATATAATAATATCTTCTAAAAGATATTCCTAAAATATAGATTAATATCCCAAAGATATTCCTAAAATATAGATTAAATCTAATAAAACTAACTACTAACAGGGATAAATCCAAAATTTAAGTTCAAAACATACCCTTTTCTTGTGTTTTTCTAAATGTAATAGAGTGCTTTCGGAAGTTAAGTTCCAAAATATTATGTGAGACGAGATTGGGTTTCATAGATCACTGTTGATCTAAAACATCTATAAATAAGGGTGTCACTCATGTAGTTAACTAAAACACCATAAAATATCTCAATATTCTTATCTCACATTTGTCTGCTTCAACAACAGTGAGAGACCTCTCTTGAATTTAGATTCATAGAGATCACTCGTCTTGTCGATCTGAAATCCACACTAGAGAATCTCTTGTTATACCTAGATAATTGAAGAATTGTGAAGCTCCATTATCATTGATCCTCAATTGACAATCGAGAGAAGATATAGTTCAATAAATTTGAGCTGAAGATTGATGAAGGTTTAACGATTATGAGGAGTACATTTCAATGTTACAAAACAAAATGATCAATTAAAGTGGATGTGATGATTACGAGATCAACCGATGATATTCTAAAAATGTTGAAACATACAAAATCATCTCTTGATGATGAAATATAATATTAAATTTATATTAACAAAAATTTATTTATAATATTACGTATTTTATATATATCTTAATAAAAATTTATTTTATTATGTTAATTTATGTTATTCATCTCATTTTTGCAATTGTTTCTAACATGGAATAACATAGAGGGTTCTAAAAGTTAACTTTCGTGAAAATGACGAAACTTATCCTCCGAATAGTTTCATCAGTGACCTACATCTTAGACTTCTCACTTTGGTTGCATTTTGGTGCATCAGTAGGTTAAGTTCTAGATTTTAAGGGCATTATGTATGTATGAATCATGCAATGCAATCCAAACTATCTCATCAAATCTAAATTAATTTATTCACTTTAAATTAATATCAATTTTTTTTAATTCAAATAAATTTAATACATAATGGAATTGCATTAACGTCATTGATGTTAAATAATAATTCAAAATGGTTTTTATTTGACTTGTTAACCTCTGATTTTAATTGAAAATTTAAAATGGTTTTTATTTGACTAGTTAGCCTTTGATCAAATTTTATTCATACATACATAATTGCATTGCATCATTGTATTAATTGTAGATAAATACAAGAATAAGCTATACACCAAGTGATGCACTCCAAGTATATCATTGTGCCATAAATACATTTTTATTTAAATTATAATAAATGGATTAAAACGATCCATTATTAATTTACATTGCACTGAAAGTTTAGTATAAAAAAAGTATAACCCATCCATTTCATACATTAAGAGTCCCGTGCACAAGAAATTGAACCGCTAATCTTTCTATAAATTTATTTTAATTATTTGAACCTTTCTAAGCAAAGCTTACTTAGAATTCCAACTTGCATGACCTTGAGTATGGAAATAAACTGTATAATGCTCATCCCTGAAGTTGAATAATGGCTCTAAAAGAAAATTTTTGTATGTACCTTTTGCCACAAAGCTGATAGGATGGTATTGCCTTAATCCTTTCCCAGAGACAAAACTCGTTGCTTGGTTAAAACTAGCTTCAGAGTCAGACTTGCATTTGAGCTTAAGTCCTGAACCAGGGCTCATATCGCTATGCACGTAACAACCTTTATTGCTTTCTGATTCTAAAGATACAGTTTGTTTTTGTCCGTCCAATCCTGGTACGACTAGAAAATCCAAAGATGGCCCGTCAAGGGAGGAATCTACAACGATAAGAGGTTGGTCTGGTCCTTGGTGAGTTACAGTATTTCCTGGTAGATCAATTGGTTCTAAAACCACTGATTTACTAGTAGCATTTTTTTGGACAAGTCTAAAGGTAGCATGAAGAGCAATATCAGTTCCAGGTGCAGGTAGGTTTTGCATTGTGAGTGATTGGTTTGAGTTTGTTATAACAAAAGTTGAATTATTAAAGTCTTGTGACAAAGAAACTAATTGGTTGTTGTAACTGGGAGGAATTGGAGTAATCAAGTCTGCAACAGATGTGTTATCACCAACTGTAATTTCCCAATTTTTGTAGGTATGACCGGCGAGAAGATATGGTCCGTAAAGAATTGCTTGAAGAGATGCAAATTCAGGTCTTTCATCTGAATTTCATTTGAAAACACCATATCAGTAATGTAAACACATTCTTTCACAAAATATATGTATATTACATTCATAGATTGTCTTGTAAAGCTACCTTTTATGGCTTCTGTTCGGATGATAAGAGGCAACTGAAGGGATAGCTTGTCACTGGCACTCCATTGTCGTGTGATTGACAAAAATATCCCTAAAGGTTAAGACAGTAAAATATTACTTTCATGTTTCAAATGTTAACTTTTCCTGCTATAAAAGGAATACGTAATTATGTATAGTTTACTAGTGTGTATGAGTGTGTGTCCTAACATAAATATGAATGGCCTAAGGGCTTGTTCTTTTTCGTCGTTTTTCTTTTTGGTGATTAAACATTCTAGTATCTGTCAGTGTGAGATAATTAAGGGAAGTAAAGAGAAATTCAAACCTGGAGCTGGCAGAGATAAAGTTTCAGTATTTAATATCGCCTTGGCACCATTGGCAAGAGTCCAAGATGGTAGACGAAAGTTCAATGTTGACAAAGTCCCATTTTTCTGCAAAGTTCAAGTTTCGAAATGATAGGTTGTAGAAGGAGTATGGCATTATAGATTTATAGCCTCAAAATTTCAATACCAATCATCAGAAGACATGTGGCTAAATGAGAAGCAATAAGACAATGTAATAGATACCTCATTAGGAGAGAAGGTAAACGTAACTCGTAGGTAAGGGTCCAACGAAGCAGCTGGAACAACTGTCTGTGTGAGCAAAACGTTCCCAGATTTCCAATTAAATGAACTTGATATGTACTGAATGATGTATAGACTAGGATTATTCCCTTCCTCTTCAAAATAAATAGAATCTCCAAGCTTTGAGAATGATTCAATTCCTAATGACAAAGGAAAACTAAATTTAGAATAGAACTCAGGTAAGAGAATTCAGGAGTTTACAACGAATATTACTCTCTCGGCCTCATATTAAGCCACATGTTCCAAATATTACTTTGTTTATATTATAAGTCATTTTAGAATATTAATAAAAAGTGTACAGAATCTTAAAAGGAGTACGCAGATTCCCACCTGTTCCGTAGCAGCACCAGAAAGAATTAAATGGTGTTCCCCAACCATGATAAGATTTAGCTTTGGATTGCCCACGACCTAGAGGAAGCATATAAATCATCACCCCAGGATCTGTTCCTCTTTGAATGCCGAGTACACCATTCGTTAAAGCGCGCTCATAATAATCTGCATAAATGACTTCTTTGGTCCATCTGAACAAATGGCGTGAAACCTGAAATCAATATTTAAGAACATGAATACTTCAACAGGAATAAACAATGAATCATCCCTGAAGTAGTATGTTACGCTGATGAACTATTAGAATGACGAGTGATCGGTTGATCTGGTTGTACCTTCAACATATTATAAGTTGTGCACGATTCTTCATTCTCTGTTGACAGGGCATCTGCCATTCTCTTTGGATCACTCCTGCCCAATAGTTGAGATAAAAGACTTCAGAAAGAAATCTAGAACTGATTATCATGTAAAAATAAAGGAACGGAAAGTTTCTACTCGATTTTCTTTAAGAAATCATATTCTATGAATACTTTTAAACGCAAATAAAGGATGATATCTTAGTACCAGAACTCGCCGACTGATGTCCCTCCCGTTGCATAGCTGTGTGAAGAGTTTACAATGCTCATAAAGAATGTCCCAATATCCTAACACATCAAAACACAAGAACTATTCTTAGAAAACTGAAAAGCATATATAAGGGCGTTGAATGATTATTATCCTCAAGTAATACCTCCAAAATGTTAAAATTGGAAAAATAAATAAATTAGCTTACACCAATAAATAGAAAATAAACATAACTTCATGAAAACTTAGTGAAAAATAGATTAGTAATCGACAATGGGCATGAGGAACTTACCTTATAAATTGGATCACCCGTGACTTCGTACCGCATTTGAGCTCCAACAACAACTGGGATATGTGTATTAGAATGAAATCCAGCTATGTCATTTGCCTACATAAAAGTTGAAGTTGAAATGGTGTATAAGGCTATAATTAAATTTTATATGGAAACTTTCTGGTATATATTGTATGTTATGCCCTTTAGATATTGCTCATCTGAAAGCTAACATTAGTTATAACTTATAAGTGCTCTCTTAAACTTAATTTGAAGAACAGTTGCAACATCTTGAAATTTACAGCCAAAACTATATATAACTGAATTATGTCATAATAAATATCAATTAGTTACCTCTAGTGCAAGCAACCCTAAAAAGCATGGCTTGTCGAAAAGGTGAGCCAACAATAGATGCTTTGAATCCCCCTGCATATTTGTATAACATGAAAGATTTAGTTCAGAATAACCAAGCGTCATGTGCTATAATCATTAAAGTTGTTTCACGAATGCTTAAAAATCCATCATAGTTAACAAGTGAGGAACATTATATGAACACATGAAATAAAAAGAGAGTTAAAGAAACTACACGAACTAGTTAACCTACCGTTACGCTATATAATTTGTAAAGGACATCATTCATTCCTCCAGTTTCCTCATTTAGGGAATCGTAGTGTCTATGTACAGTGTACTTTGCTATTACATTCATCACTCTATTGTAAAAGTAATCGACCATCCATATCAACATTTTTAGAGCTTGAGGATTTCCACCTTTAATATGTTGATCCAACAAGCCATCCATGATCTGTCAAAGTCGAGTGATCAAGATCACACAATACTAAGGCCAAAAGCACTTGCACTAGTCAAAATCTAGTCTTTCTTATACCTTATGAATGGTGTAATAGGGAGCCCAAACAGGTTGAATAGCTTCAAATCGATCAAAAAACTCATCTGGAAATGCAGATAAATATCCTGTTCCAATTTTCTCCTGACAAGCTGATAGACCGGAAACAAGAGCCGACATTTTCTCCTTCAGACTATCGTTCTTCGTGCTCGCCCACATTAGAGCCGATGCACTCAAGTAATGCCCTTCAGATTATAAAAAATAATCAATTATATATTAACCTTCAAAAGTGAATTGCAGAAGCTAAAATAAAATTTACCAACAAAATGTCCTCTGAGTTCCTGATCAGAAGTCTCCCATCCACCATACGGTTTACCCGGAGTCGGTAATCCAGCCGTCTTCCTGAAGCTCCAAATCAATGAATCAACATCCAACATCAAGAGATACTCCAAATTAGTCTGCTGTGCCTCAGCATGAATGGAACCTTGCAGTAACCTCACATCCTCAAGAGGAACTTCTTTGAGAAATCCAACAGGTGGCTTAAACACACCCAAATTCTTAACTTTTTTATACAGAACAGTCCAACCACGTTGGTGTTCTTCTGTTAACAACTTCCTAGGTAGCAAATCAGCCCAAGCTGAATCATCATTTGGGGTTACATGATAGTGAGACATCACTTCGTTCTTCCATGTCTCATTCTTTGATGCCCCTAACTCATATCGCAACGTGTGCGATTGAGTCGGACTGTTTGTGCATTCCCTTCCAGCAGCACAACCACACAGCATGAAGGCCACAATAACATATACAAGAACCTCCATCTTTCTGAAAATTTGAAACTAAAAACAGAAACAGATCAACTTATTTCAGCTTAACTACTACTAGAATAAGCAATTGTGAAAACAGCTTATGATAATAAGTACTTATGCTATACATAATAGATTACTCACCAGAGAGAACTGAATTGAAAGCTAAGAAATGTAGAGAAAAAATCAAATGAATTAAACTTAAAGAGTTGGATTTGATTGGAGTTGCTAAGTGAAGAAAGTGGGAAAGACGTAACATGGGAAGGATTAAGGTGGGAATGATTCTTTGCAAAAAAACAAGACAAAATTATGGTGGGAGTGATTCATGTGTCTTCAAAAGGAATTGTTTTAAAAGTAAAAAATAAAGAAAAGGAAATGATGGGAAAAATCTTCTAGTTATGATTGTTTTTATCTTTGAGAAGTAATAGACAATCAATATTATTGAAAAGGAGATTTAAATTTAATAATGATTGCTCCCCATTTTGATTTTTGTAAATCATGAAATTGTTACTATATTATTACTCATTTTCTCTTAAAATAAATGTCTTTCTAAACAAAAAAAACAAAAAAAATATTTGTTCTAAAATAAGACTCTCTTTGCCTTTTCAATCCAATTTTTAATTAATGTTTACCAACTTTACTCTAATAATTATTTTCTACACTACTTTTAAATTATTAAAACATATTACATTTAGAAATTTTTTTTGGAATAATCAGGTATTAAAAAAAATTACACAAATAACCATGTTTCAGAAATCCCCATAAGGATGGGTCAACCCAGTTGGCGCATCCACTCCCCAATTTGCCCTAGGTGTCATCCCACTTGACGCCTTCTCTCTCTTTTAATCAAGTGAGATGGCGCATGCACTTTAAAAGTGAGAGGAGGCGCCATCTCACTTGGCTCCTAGGGCAAAATGCAATTTTTATAAATAATTCGTCTGTTTCTCCGTCATTCCTCACACTTTCTCGCAATGTTCTCTTATTTTTTACTCTGTTATTTGCGTCATGACATCGCCCATGATTTTTATCAGAGATGGTTACGTTATTTTCTTCGCCACAAAACCTCTGATGAAAATGAAATTCTGGCATATTCACTCCATGGAGCGTCTGAAGAGGGAGTTGATGCAATGGCTAAAGGGAGACATCGAGGAGGGGGAACAAACTAGAAGGATTCAGCAAAGACGAACAACAACCTCACTTGCGACAGGAAGACCTAATTTTTGGTTGGAGGAAGTCAAAACAGACAGCGACGTAATTTTGATGATGCATGGGTCAGATGAAATTGTTTTAACGGTTGTAATTTTGTAGACGGTTTATCGTGTTTTATTTCTTGTTCGCGCAATGTTTATTGTAACAAATACTATTAACGAAAAACCCTAATGTTTACAACTTAATAAAGGAAAGATTTTTTGTAATACAATTTTTATGTGGTTGAGCCAGTAGCCCGATACAGATAATTTTTGTGATTGTGTCTGACCTGACGACATAAACCACACTTTCTTTCCAGCTTGTCAAGGGAGTCCATTTCGGTTGTGATGCCCTTACTTTTGGGACGACCCTTTTTATTCCTTCGCATTTGGTCATTGTGTCGTACTATTTCACCGTCGTATGCAGACCAATAATTAAGTTTCTACCAAAGGGAAGTTGTTGTTGTATACGTTGAGCAAGATTTCAGATTTGTAAATGGGAGACAGAAGTTGTAGCGCGTCTAGATGAGTATAGGAACACACAACAATGACATGAGAGCAAGGCATGCGAAAGGCTTGAAACTTGCCACAATCGCACCAACGAGAATGTAGTATAACCTTATACTCTTGTCTGGGCAGGCCCTCGTTGTGGTCGATTGTCTCTTTGACAATAAAGTTGTGGTTATTTCGGTCAAACCGTATAACCAGATGGGTGTTGGCTTTGGCACTTTCTGCCTTAATGTACTTCATGCAACTTTCACTCCATAGTTGTCCAGATTGCAACACAGCATTCCATATTTCACCTCTTTTGGCAAACAACAAAGCCATCCTAAAATATGTTGATTTAACCAAAGCAGTGACTGGGAGGTTTCGTATGCCTTTGAATACCCCGTTCATCGATTCAATTAGATTTGTTGTCATGTGGCCCCATCTTTGTCCATTGTCGTATGACCTAGTCTATTTTTCTACTGGAATATTATCGATCCACCTACCGGCGTCCGGATTTGACAAACGGATCTCGTTGCGATAATATTTGAACGTAGGTTGTGTCAATGCATATCCCGCATTCATAATCGCTTTCCTAAGAGCTTTGTCTTTGATCTCCCTCGTGAAATTTTGGACGATATGTCTAATGCAATAGACATGCATAGAAGGAGGGTCATGCCAACTGTTTGCAGGATTGTTGTATGCACTTTCAATGGATGCATGTCTATCAGAGATCAAACAGAGATCTGGTTGAGGAGCCACGTGTGTTCAGAGATTCTTGAGAAAAAAGCTCCAAGCACCACTAGTCTCCCCCTCGACTATGGCAAAGGCAATTGGAAAAATGTTGATGTTGCCATCTTACGCAACTGCCATCAGTAGCGTGCCTTTGTATTTCCCATACAACCAAGTCCCATCAATTTGTGTAATTGGTTTGCATGACACAAACCCTGTGATGCAAGGTTGAAAAGCCCAAAACACTCGACTGAATATTCCATTTCCGTTGAGTTAACTACCATCCGGGGCGTACGCTGGCACTGTTTCCAGAATGTAAACAGTACCCGGAGAATAAGTCTGGAGTGCATTCAGGTAGCAAGGAAGTTCTTGGTATGACTCCTCCCAATTTCCATATACCTTTTCAATCGCCTTGGTCTTTTCTAACCACGCCTTTCGGTAAGACAAAGTATAGTTAAATACCGTAGTGATGTGGGAGATTATGGTTTTCACCTTCAATAATGGATCGTTGCTGACAAGTGGTAGGATTTCTTGACATATGAGATCATAATTTAGATTCCGATGATCCTGTGATTGAGTAGAACTGACACACGTTTGGGTAGACATAGAACCTATGACCCATTTGATCTTGTACCTTTCTGGATTTACACGGCCCACCTTAAAATCGACCGAGTTGAGCATGTGAAATTTTTTGATGGCTCGGATACATTCTTGTCTGTTACGAAATTTGTCTTTCTCTTTTAAATTTTCATCCGACTGCATATACAGATTGAAAAATAAATGAGAAGATGGTTCATCTCCGCCCATGTTGAAGTTTGTCATGTGCGGAGATGGTGTGTAGATCTCGTTTGAAGGAATACCAAGTATCTCATCGTCTTCGAAATCATCGTTGACCATGTCGTCAAACTCCAACTCGTCATCTTCTTCTTCATCAACGACATCTACTTCTACTTATTCGGTCTCCAGAGGATCAACCACTTGTGACAGCTAAGGCTCTCGCAGCATAATGTACAACTCAATAGAGTCGTACCCATAATACTCATGACTGGAAAAGATATTCTAAAGGTCCTCGTCATCTTGAACCTCAACCTTATAAAATATTATTTGGTTGTTACCAAAAAAAATTGGATTCTGATAAAATATTTGTGTCATGGGACCACGTCCAAGTTTGGCCTCTAATCATTTTTTGAAGTATAAGAAATTGGCTTTCCTGTTTAAACAAAATCGGATGTTCTCAGTGTCTCTAAACAAAAACCCAGAGGTGGAGCAAATGTATGTCTCACCGTTGAAATGTGCATTGATCACATATTGGGGTGCATAGGCCATTGTGTATGATTGTTTGAAGGTTTGAAGGTTTGAAGGTTTGAAGGTTTGAAGTTTATGAGTTAATTGCTTGAATTTTTGAATATTCTAGTGTTTGAGTGATTAAGTGTAGGAGTGTTTTGATAAATGTAAGATTAAATAGGTTGTACTGAATTTAAATAAACCAACAGTAAGCACTCTCCAAGGTTGTCACCTAGCCTACACCTACACTGCAACCCATGTCAACCTTTAAGGCGCCTCCCATCACGTCCAATCGTGTTACATGCATGCAGAGATGCCTTCTCCAAGGTTGTCACCTAGCCTGCAGCTACACTGTAACCCATGCCACCTCTTATTCTCCAACAGGGATGGAGACACCTTTCATTTTTGTACTCTTTCACCAAGTACAATGGCGCCTCCCTTCACGTCCAATCGTGTTACATGCATGCAGAGATGCCTTCCCCAAACTTGCCACGTAGCCTGCACCTACACTGCAAGAGTGACACTTATCATGCATGCATGCACCCACCTACCACCTCACTTACTCTATGATAAAATTTTGCCTATAAATACAGAGCCTCGCATACTTTTATCGCATCCACAATCGTCTCACTCTCTGCTACAAACTCTTTCATAATCTCATACAATTTCAAACTCTTTCATAATCTCAGACATTTTCAACAATGGCTCTTCTCACAATGGGCGATTCTCACAAAGGCACAAGGGACAACATTGCAGTATTTGTAAGTTTCTTGTATACTTATACATTTTTCATACTTCTATTAATGCTTTATTCGTCTTACCTACTCTTACACTTTTTACATTATTAACTTAGGATACTAAAAGATTCAGAATCCGGTCACACAACTACCTTACTCCCGACCCGTTGATTGTACCCTGTCTCGAATACGCAGGATTCAGAAACGTTATAAAGATCTCCAACTGCACGATTGATTCAAAGTTCATACTTGCAATGTTGGAAAGGTGGAGACCAGAGACCCATACATTTCATCTACCAATAGGTGAATGTACCATCACACTAGAGCACATGTACATGTTATTGGGTCTCCCTGTCGATGGTAAGGCAGTTAACGGGTTAGTTCAACAACCTAATTCTCTGTGTGAAGAATTGTTGGGCAGGGATATGGTTGAAGGTGGTGGTTCAAGAGGTCAGGGTATACTACTTACTGAGCTAAAAAATCATTATGCGACTCTGGAATTGAACCAAAATTCCTCCGAGCTATCTAAGGTAATAAAAGCTAGAAATTATATAATGATACTATTTAGAACCTTTTTATTTCCCTAAAGTACGAGAAATAGTGTAAATTTTATGTATTTAAATTTACTTAGAGACTTCGAAAAAACTAGAAAGTATAGTTGGGGTTCTGCTGTTTTAGCCCATCTATACAGTTCCTTGTATAAAAATGCAATCAAGGAAAAATGTACATTTTATGGCTGCGCTTTTTTACTTTAAGCCTGGGGTTGGTGGAGGATGGAGTCCCTAAACCCCGTCAACAACAACACATTCGTTTTCCCATACGCAAAAAAGTAA